GAGTGAGAGTGGAGTGGTGACTCCCTGTTCCTGTGGAGGCCAGTGTAGCGATGAGATCACCTCTTTGGGGCTAATGCAGCTGCTGAGGCAGAAACAGGTGCGGACAGACACCTGGTGGGCGCGGGGTGGCCCTCGCTGAGATGCCTTCAAGAGGAATGTGCACTTTGGATGCCAGCACCCATGAGCGAAGGCTACTCTGACTGAGCCTCGCTCACTTGGGGCCTAGCACACTCCTGCTGGGCAGCAGGTGACAGGACGTGCTTTTTTGTGTTAATGAGAGAAAACATTGATTCTCCCACTGCCCGCGGAGGTGGAAAGTGGAGTGTGGAGACATGCGGGAGTGAGCGAGGTTCCCTGTCTGGGGGTTCCAAATCCACTGTGATTCCTTTCACCACTGACTAGAGGTATACAGGGTGTCCCCCCAAAATGTATACACACTTTGAATACCTACTAATTCCAATGGATTTAAGCATGAAAAGAAACAACAATGGAGCTGCCATCTGTTAAAAGTGTGGGTACAAACTGGCAATCAGACATTCTCTGAGGGGGTCCCAGATTGGAGAGGGTGCAAGCCAGACTCAGGGGCCCTCCTCCCCTCCCCACCCCTCCATGCATGAATCTTTGTGCACCGGGCCTCTAGGGTCAGTATAAAACCATGAAGGGGTTCAGAGCAGTCATTCAGACATGATGATATTGGACATAGGGCATTAGAAGACTGATGTCATGAATGTGTCTAGACCAAAGTGGGAGAATTTTCATAGCTTCACTCTTTTCTTTCTTAAAAAAAAATATGTTTTTATTGATTCAGAGAAGAAGGGAGAGGGGGAAAGAGATATAAACATCAATGATGAGAGAGAATCATGAATTGGCTTCCTTCTCCATACCCCATACTGGGGATCAAGCCCACAACCCTTCTCCATACCCCACACTGGGTTTCAAGCCCACAACCCAGGCTTGCGCCCTGACTGAGAATCAAACCTTGACCTCCTTGACTCCTCCTCCTTCTCTTCCTCCCCTTCATCCTTATATGAAGCATGGATCCCATCTTGAATTCAGGGTGCTCCTACTCCTGCTTTACCTTCTTCCAACTCATGTCATCATCCAGGACAGCTGTCCTCTCTGTGATGCAGCAATGGTGGCAACCTGGCTCCTCCCAGTTGTATTACTCTTACCCCATAACATTATTCCCACTTAGGTTTCATAGCTCCTAGAATACCCTTGAAATATAAGGACAAACGTTTTCTTTAGAAATTTGGCCTCACATACTCCTATTATACAATTTTACTAGGGTCATTTAATAGATAACACTATGTGCCCACAGTAACATCTATACTAATAATAGCCTAGGTGATCATCATGCCCTCACGCATCATGCGCTCATATCATCACAAGATGGCTGTCACAAGGTGGCCGTGCAAACAGCGGAGGCGGGCCCAGCAGAGGAGGTGGGTCGCAGCAAGGGAGGGCATTTGTGGGTGATCAGGTCAGCAGAGGAGGGCAGTTGTGGGCAATCAGGTCAGCAGATCATCTTTATATGAAGCAGGGATCCCATCTTCAGTTCAGGGTGCTCCTACTCCTGTTTTACCTTCTTCCAACTCATGTCACCATCCAGGACAGCTGTCCTCTCTGTGATGCACCAATGGTGGCAACCTGGCTCTTCCCAGTTGTATTACTCTTACCCCATAACATTATTCCCACTTAGGTTTCATAGCTCCTAGAATACCCTTGAAATATAAGGACAAACGTTATGGGCCGAGGACCCCCCCCACACACACACACACGAATTTCATGCACCAGGCCTCTAGTCTATATATAAAAACCTAAGTGGCCAGAACAACCGAAACAACCAGAACTGGAACGACTGGTCACTATGACACACACTGACCACCAGGGGGCAGCCACTCAATGCAGGAGCTGCCCCCTGGTGCTCAGTGCGCTCTCACAGGCAACCTCCTTTGGCTGGCCAACCTCCTCTGGTCCCTACTCCTGTCCCCTGGGCTGGGATGGAAACCGGGGGTGGGTGATGGTGGACATGGCCCATTTCTCAGGGGGCCAAGGGCCAGCTCCCTCCTCAGGACTGGCAGCCAACCCCCCTGGCCCCGTCCCACCCCCAGGCCAGTAGGCCCAGATTGGCCCACTGCCCACCCACTGCAGTGGCAGTACAGCAGGAAGGGAAGGAGGAGGGGTGGAGGCAGGGAACCGTTGGGTGGTAGAGTCCTGATGATGACGGCATCAAGGTTCGGCATCCATTCCTTCTGCGCCCGGCCCAGAGACTATCACCTCCTCTCCGGGCCAGCCCTGATCGCCCTGGCCCCGATTGGCCCTGATTGCTGGCCAGGCGCAACCTCCTTTGGCCGGCCAACCTCCTGTGGTCTCTACTCCTGGCCCCTGAGCTGGGATGGAAAATGGGGGTGGGTGATGGTGGACATGGCCCCTTTCCCAGGAGGGCCAAGGGCAAGCTCCCTCCTCGGGACTGGCAGCCAACCTCCCATGCCCTGTCCCACCCCCAGGCCAGTGGGCCCAGATTGGCCCACTGCCCACCCACTGCAGTGGCAGTACAGCAGCGAGGGAAGGAGGGCGGGGGAAGGCGGGGAACCGCTGGGTGGTAGAATGCTGATGATGACGGAGTCAAGGTTGGGCATCCATTCCTTCTGCGTACGGCCCAGAGACTATCACCTCCTCTCCGGCCCAGCCCTGATCAGCCTGGTCCCGATTGGCCCTGATTGCTGGCCAGGCCTAGGGATCCCAACCATGCACAAATTTCATGCACCAGGCCTCTAGTGTCATATATTGCTGAGGCACAACAAACTTAAGGCAGTCATATTAGGCTACATTGCTGCACCCTTTCTTTTAATGGAGCATAGGGTTGAAGGCTCTTTGGGGAAATCCTTTACATTCGTCCCTTCCTTGTTTAGTTGAGTAGTTGTTTCTAGATTTATCAGCCATCCTCTTACTCATTGCTTCCTCTGTCAGTAAAGAGCAAGAATCCAACACTCTCTCGTCTGCTCTTCTTGAATAACTTTCAGCCCTTCCTTCATTGTCACTATCCAAAATGTTAAACTACTAAAACACAGGTCTTCTGATTCATAGCTGGATGTCTTAACCCATCCTAGGAGCCTGTGCTTTGTGCTTTTAAATTATTTAGCCCTGCCAGAGAAGTCTGAATCTGTTTCATCTTCACCTTGTCTTTTATAATATTAATTTTTTATCTTACAGTGTTTCCATTAGTCCTCATGGGCATACTTATGGGCTAATATAGCCCTAGAAATCACCTTCTGGCATTGAAAATTCTGCCTTGGGGCTTCTAAAGCACTGGAGAGTCTGCAGGGACCCCGCTCCTCCAGGCCAGTTGAGTCGATTCCCTGGATCTTTAGAAGAATCAGAAACCCACCCTGACATTAATTCCCTCCACTGGGTACACTGGTGCTGCAGTCTGGCAAGTGAATGTTACATGTGGATTTTAGTTTATATTATTTAAAACATACACTTCTATACTATCAGAATGTCCTTTCTTTCACTGTTAGTGCAAAGGTGGTAGGTGTGAAGTTAAAAGTGACCTGTGTTATAGCAATAAAATGACACATACATTTCAGTAGGAGGCTGCTGGGACAGAAACATTGTGGTGTGGTGCCAATGCGCTGGCAAGAATGCCAGGAGCCCTACCCCTCAGCTCTCCAATTTTGTGCCTTGCTGGGTGATACAAAAACATAAATTCCTCCTATTGTTAGCATACCCACTTAAGATATTCTTCTTTGAGAAAGCAGAAATTTTCTGAGTTTTATGTTAGTTTTTTCCCCAACTTCCAATGTGGCTTGATATAAAATTTCTGTTCTTATAAAAACACAGAAACCATCTTTAGGAAGAACACACTTGCCTGTAGCTTTATCATAATTTTTTTAATCAAAATACATTGCTCAAGTATAAAACATGACCACGTCCTTCCTTCCAGAGCCACACAGGGGCCTCTGGGAATGATCTGGCGTGTAGACAAGCGCTCTTGTCGCCCATCACACGCGTGTCCTAGCAAAGCCAGGCTCGCTCAAACAGGACGATCAGCAGACATTGGAAGAATTGCTTCCTTTGCGTGTGTGCATGAGTGACTACACAGACCTCTGCTAGAACTTTCTACAATATATCAGAACCCAATGACATAAGTTAACTGGGCACCACATATGAAAATGATGACCAAGCAGTTGAGAATTTGCAATTAAATACTGCTAAGTAGGAAAGAAGGGTTACAAAAAGGTGTGTATTACATAATTCCATTTTTATTTAAAAAGTACACATGGAATAAAAGGCTACAAGTAGATGCAGCAAAATGTTTCAGAGCTTTGTCTGGTGTCATTATAAGGATACAAAAGCTGTCATTATAGCCTTCCAGTGTTTCTTTAGGAAAGTGAATGCAAATATGATATTCTTTTTAATCCCAACTTTTAAACAAAAGCTATAAGCTTGCTATCTTTTAACTAGAGTATTCTGTCTAAGCCCTAAACCTCAAGAGCTTTCAAGACACACTTCTTCTCACTCACTCGGTAGGCAGGCTGCTCTTCTCTAGCCACAGCTCTGCTCCTGCCTGTAGGCGGGCTTCCTACGTCTCTTTCTTCTGGGAATGAGGCCAAAGGAGTGCCTGCTGCCTGGGACATGCTCTCCTTATGGGACAGGGCAGGAGCAGGAGAGCTGGTGTCCATCCGCCCTGCCTCCGGAAGCCCAGACAGGACACGCAGCACATGATCCCCTGGCTGCAACATGTCACATGGCCAAGCCCAATGCATGACCTTTTTATTATAGAGCAATGCTTTGCACACTATGTTTCACTTGTTTGAATATACATAGAGCTTCTTTACTTTTTAAATACCTACGTGGTACTTGAACTTGTGGCTATGCTATAGTGCACATAGAGTCCCTATTGATGGAAATATGGGCAGTATCTTTTGGTTTTTAATTCTTTGTTGTTGAAAGTATTACATATGTCCCCTTTTTCCCCCATTGTCCTCTCCCAGCCCACCCCCGCCCCCCAATCACCTGTGTCCATTGGTTATGCTTCTATCCACACAAGTTCTTTGGTTGATTTCTTACATCCCCATCCCCGAGCAACCTCCCCTGCCTTCCCTCTAAGGTTTGAGGGTCTGTTCAATGCTTCTGTGTCTCTGGATCTATTTTTGTTCATCAGTTTATGTTGTTCATTATAGTCCGCAGCAGTTTCAAATCTTTTACAAAGTCAACTGATGTTGAAATGAATATCTTTGTCCCTATATCAATTCATATGTCAGCAGGTGTATAGTAAAATGAAGGCTAAGGTACCCTAAAAAAACGATACCATATCCAATGGCTTCAGGTTATTTCCTTCATGCAACTTTCCTAAGGCTGGGGGGAAGGAAGTCCAGTTTGGCAGTAGTGTGTTCCTTATGATCATTAAACATATTTTAGTATATCATGGCTGCTATAACAAACTGTCACTGACTGGGTGACTTAACAATAAATATTTCCACAGTTCTGGAGGCTAGGAAGTCCAAGTTCAAGGCATAGGTCTGGAGAGAGCCAGCTTCCTGGCTCATAGACCACTGTCTTCATGCTCTGTCCTTAAATGGCACAGGAGGATGACAGAGGTCTCTGGGTCCCTTTTATTTATAAGGGCACTAATCCCATTCATGAGGACCCCACCTTCATGACTTAATCACCTCCCCAAAGTCCCACCTCATAATACTATCATATTGCGCATTAGGATGTCAACATATCACTTTTAAGGGGACACAAAGCATCCACAAGAAGAGGCCGGGTTCTCTCCATCTCACTTTTTTCACATCCCTCAAGATCTTACTCTGCCTTGTTGAAGCTGGATCATGGGCATATTCATAGTACAGGTCAAAGGAAGGAAAAGGGAGCTCTTAGAAAAGTCCATGCCCAACATATGAGGACCCAGACCAAGAAACAGCAAACATCTCATCCAGTCACGTTCCACTGCAAAGATTTACTGACATAGCTACCACTAGCTGCAAAGAATGACAGGAAATGCAGTGTCTAACTGGGCCACCCCATGCCAGCTCTAATTGTGTCATAGTGGTAGAAGGCAAGAACAGCATATCTGTAAGATGAATTCCTCGAAACAGAGTAATTGGGTCAAAAGATAACACATTTGTAATTTCAGAAGATAATACTAAGCTGCATTCTATAGGAGAGGAATTATTTAGTACTTCCACCAGCAATGTCTCTTGTCTTCCCAGATAGGACAAGAGGCTGTATTGTCAAACTTGAAGATTTTTATCAATTGAAAGTATAATAGGTATCTCAGTTTAGTTTTGACTGGAGTATCATCTCATATGTTTAAAGGCCATTTATGTTTCTTTCTCTAAGAGTTCTCTGTTCAGGTCCCTTGCCTATTTTTCTCTTGGATTGTTAGTCATTTGCCTGTGATATGAGTTGTGAGTATGCCCTCCCCCAGCTTGTC